CCTCTGGACACATTCCAGCTTGTCAATATCTCTCTTGAATTGTGGTGCCCAGAATGGGACACAATACTCGAGGTAAAGTGGTCTAACCAAGGCGGAATAGAGCATGGGGAGCAGGACTTCCCTGGATATCTAGACACTAGGCTCCTCATTATTGTTCTACTCCAGAAACCTCATTTTTGTGGCTGCCACAAACTATGTTGAATTGGTTGAGACTCGAGGAGAGATTCCTTGCTGCAGGATGCCTTACAAAAACAAAGTTTGTGCACTTTAATAAACTTTCCCCATGTTCTTGATGATAGAACCAATTAGGAAACGGCCTTTGTAACCCAGGAACGAAAATCATGTTACATAGTGTGATAAATCCCTGGACCTGATGAGGCAACAACAAGGTGAGGAGCGGAGGGAGGAACAGGAAGGGGAACAAAGGTGACTTTTGAGAGGTCCTTTGCACCACTCAGGGTTTCGTTAAGGCGGCTTAAGGGTCTTGGGTTGGGGAAAAAAGGAGCCTCTGTGTACACGATTCCAAAGAGCCACGGATTTAGCTGGGCAAGGGTTGCGATTTAGCGGGATTATGTCGTTGTTGAGTAATAGATTGTATAAGGTGCAAGGCGAAGCCCAGCGTGGGACCTCGCTTTGGGTTTTGGCCAATAATCAGTGAGGGAACATTCTCTTCTGGCTTGAACGTATCTCCCTCTACGTTCCGCCTCGTAGTTTATGATCTTCTGGGGAGGCCCTACTCTCGATCCCACCAGCCTGGTGGGGACGAGAGACAGGGCCTTCTCAGTGGTGACCCCTCGCTTAAAATTATTATTGCTACTTCCTAATTGTAATTGTGTTGCTGTTATTAATCATAATGTAAAAATATGAAATGCAGGATGTATTTTCATTCACTGGGCCAAATTTGGCACAAATACCCAACAACAGCGCTCCATGCCGTCATATCAGCCGCATGACCTTGGAGGTGTCTATGGACAACACCGGCTCTTTGGCCCAGAAATTGAGCACCAGCTCCCAGAGTTGGACTCGACTGGACTTCATGTCAGGGGAAAACTTTTACCTTACGTTACCCAATATGCCCAAATTTGAATACTGGTGGGATTGGAGGGAAAACTGATTATGTCATTTGGGAGTTGTAGTTGCTGGGATTTATAGTTCACCTACAATCAAGGAGCATTCTGAACTCCACCAA